CCTTGCGACTCGAGGTGGCCCAACAGGGATCTCCGCGAGCGGTTTACGGAGACAGGGAGCGTTTGGGCAGCACAGGGGTGCCCGGTTCTTGCCACCTGCAGGTCGTCGTCAACGTCATCCTGCGCGCCAGTCTCGTGTCGTCGTGGCGGCGAGCGGTTTAGGCCCGCAGCTCTACCGAGCGCCGTCCGCTCGGTCATCGTGACTTTGAGTTTTCCATTTTCTAACTTTTTCTTACTTTTCTCTTAATTTAATATATTAATTTACTGTCTCATTGCAAAAATTTTTCTTATTCAAATTCGGGTCTGTTGCTTTTCAATTATTTTTGATTGACGGATTAAACCTCCAACGCGCCTCTTCCCTTTACTTTTCACTTCCCCTTTAATTAAATTGCGCGTGGAAACTCAATTCGTGTAGCAGATTTTTTTTATTTAACACAGTTTGTTTATTCTTGATTACTGCAAATTACACAAATTTATTTGATAGTCGCAATTTATGGCCTCGCGCACTAATACGCGTCCTGTCGTTGGCAGCTAACCTTGCCCATTTTGTCTTTTGACGGGGCTCATCGAGCATAGATCACACAGCTCGAATCGTAATATCAAGCTTGAACTTTGAGGGCAACGAGTCATTCTACTTTGAGAAATTATGAGATGGATGAGCCGCCGCAGCCGACTCTTTCTCCGCGCCTCGTAATCAAAATAGCCACTGACGAAAGTCGCTTCACCTAACATTTTCAAGTTAATTCCGAGGAGTGTTCGTTGAGCCTTCGAACGAGAAGGCCGAGAACTGCTCCTTTAACTTTTGCCCACACGCTTAACCAGTCCAGGTCTGGTGACTCAAAGAGTGTTGATCTGAGTGAGTTTTCATGGCAAGAGCGGGCCTTTTTATACAAAAATCGAGCACCCCACTCTGCTCTTTTCCAAGAAATGCGTTGGCTGTTTAGGGGCTGTTTTAAGTCTCTATAGGCAGCGCGCCGGCAAAAGAGAAATCGAGAAGTGGTCGCGCTTTTGTACGATCGGCCGTGCATTGAAATTCAATTTTCTCAAAATTAATTCCTATGACACTTTTGGATTTTATTACTTTACGTCGTACTCTCCTTTCAAATTTAAATTCCATTTGAATGCTCTTGAATTTAACAACTTATGAACAATTCAATTAAATTTAACTTTGTTGGGAATAAAAAAAAACATTTGGTTGCGTGAGAGAATTGCCGATTTATTATTGCAATCTTCATTCCATTTTTCTAGCTCTAAAAGTCCAATCACCCTTTTTAAATAATTACAAGAAGAGCGTGAGCGCGGCAGCCGCTGTATTTTATCAGGCTGCCGAGCAAACGAGAGAAAGAGACACACCGGCACATACATGTGTGTCGCGGCCGTGTTCTTGCTGGCCCACGAGCAAAGGCCCGCTCGGCGATTTTCTGCTGGCTAAATTTCCCTTTTTTTAAATCCAATTTTCTCCTTTTTTCCTCTAAATTAGCCAGCAGTTATTTTCACATGAAATTATTCACATTCATTAAATGTCTCCTTTAATTACAAGATTCAAATTAAACATGCCTTAATTCTCTTGAGCAAAATTTCCAATTTCCATTCGAACAAATGAAAAATTAGAAATTCCAACTAGTCGAGTAATTGTTTGTGATCGCAGAATTTTGGCAACTCCGCCTCTCAGGTATGTTCCCTTTCCAGGAAAATTGTGAGCGCCGTGAGAAAGGACGCGGGCACCTTTCTCAGGTGTTTTTGCGCGCGCAGGGGGTGGAAAACAAGTTAAATTTCACCCGGCCGTCCGGCTCAAGAGGGACCTTTCGTGTTCGACTGCTCACTCATGCATAAAATAATCATTTTTCTTTAGAAATACTGGCTGCGCTTCTAATCCTATTGGCAACAGCATTCAGAAATGTGTCTGCTACATTTTTTATTTACAATTGTTTACGCATCTCGCGGCTCTCGGCCGCCGCTGCTGCTCGCACCCTTCTCTCCTCACAATAGCCGCGGTCAGCTTATTTATTTCTCTCAAACTTTATGCCTGATTTCTTTTCTTATATCAATTTTACTCCGAAGAGAAAAAATCTACTTTTAATTTTATAGCCATGCGATGCTGGGCAGAGCAGGAGACTATAGTCTGCCGATGGAGCAAAAGCGCTCGCTGGTGGCCTCCAGAGGCCGCTTGGTGTCGCGGACGGCCCTAGTCTTTGCCGTCGCGGCCACGGCCACCGCCGTCATCTACTTCTGGCCGGTGCCTGGTGAGACAAAATCGCTAATTGGAGTGATGAAATCTTTTGTGGTGGGAAAGAGTTATTTCTTCAAGATTGATTGAAAAAAATACCATATATAAAAGTAATAAAATTGTTAAGAAGTTAAGAAGCGATAATTTTGAACAGGTTTTTTTTACATTTGGCAAGATGTAACAATAAATACTTGTTTCATTTAAATGTGTATTGTGTTTACAGTTACTATTTATTTTATAACCTGAGCATTTTTCAGATTATATTATATTATTGATGAAAATGATGAATTTAATCAAATTAATATATATCTCTGAAATTATTATTCATGATCAAGTTGATCAAACATTTTGCTAGGATACGAATTAAAAAGTAGATTGAATTTTGTAGCTTTCATAATTGACGTTTTAGTTAGACAAGTATCTATTAAATGTAATAGCAATACTTATTTTGGTTTTTAATTTTTTTCACTACAATTTTGTAAATGTCAAAAGTGTTTTCAGTTTTTATGACATCAATTTTCTTGTTTTCATTCAGATCGAGGCAAAGTAGCAAGTCGCTTGACACACCCCCTTCAAAGAGTGCCAATTAAGGCATCTCAACTAATGATTAATTCAAAAATGGAAACTGTTTATCTATTGTCTAGACATTTGTCAATATTTACTTTCTAAAATCACATCTCGGACACTTTCAATTCAAGAGACGCCTGCGAACTTGGAAAGTTTGCAACCCACTCGACGCCAACGTCCGCCCGGTTGCTCGTCATTCCAGTTCGGCCCTATCAGAGTGGTGAGAAATAATTATTAACTAATTTATTCCTTTCATGCATACTGTTCAAACTAGTAAATTGGAACCGCCTGTAATCAGAATTAACGACGCTGAAGTAGAACACGTTCTAAAGACTACTGTTAATAGTCGGTCCTTTCGAAGGACGACGTACGCACCTCGTGATTGTGAATATCAGGCGAGAGCCACACGTCTCGTTCACCGCGCATATATCGGCCGAGTGTGTTTGAATCAGGGCGTGAATGTCGGCGGCCTTCTTTCTGTCCTGAGATTGGTTTTAAAAATTTGTAAAATTTCAATGTTTGATAATAAAATTACTCTGAAGCATTGATTCTGTTATTATAAATACAGCGCGCTGTTCGCGCGCACAATTTATATCAAGCGATTTAAACACAACTATATATCTGGAAATCGCGTTAATCAACTCACCAGTTAATTTGACTGGCTCAATATTAAGTGTCCAGTGCACGTGGCAAATGGAGGAAATTTCAGAAAATTAACAAATATGTTAAAATAAGAAATTTTTCTCTATTATATGGTAACTTAACATAAAATAAAAAAGTAAATTTATTTTCTGTGTTCTTAATTTTAAACATGACCTCATTCACTTGTAAATAGATCATTCCGTGACCGCTGCAATTTAAATAAAAATATTCATCGTCGTTTTTAACTTTCATGTTCTCGAAAGCTCTTAATTATTTTCTAGTTAATAACTTATTCCAAATAATTTTTAGAATCCTTCGTTATATTAAAAGAAACGCCATTAAAATTTTTTTAACTCATGATGGAGCATTAAATTTGTTGTGGACTAGACTAATCTCTCAAATTAAAATTAAGTTTTCATCACATATTTCACTTGAGTCAGTCGTCCGTGTTTGCCCTTCGACGAGCTACAAGAAGGCCATGGCATGTCGGCGAAGGCGTACTGGAACTCCTCAGCGACTTTGTCATTGGCCACCGGTGGGTCAGCTACCCAGCAGATGTTGAGGTTGAAGCATAGATTTAATTATCCTTTTTCTTTAAATCTGTTGTGAGAGAATAAACGAATTGAATTGAAATCCATGGGTTGAAGTCACCCATGAGCAAACAACCGTCAAAGTTGGGCTGCTCAGCGGGGTCACCTGGCGGCCACCAGGTCGAGCGAGAGTGCAGCAGGGCGGCGCGTTGCGCGGCCTTGGTATTTGGCCGCCTGTACGCCGAACCGACGAGCAGCCGCAGTTTGCCCACTCGGATTTTAGCCCAGACAATCTCGGCGCGGCTCTCGAGGTGCGGCAGACGCTTGGGCTGGAGGTGCGGCCGCTCGAGTCTGTCCTTGCATGAAAATTATTAAAGTGTTCTTCATATTAATTGATCAAATTTTATTTTCAGTGAGCATGCATTTTTCATAGTTTTTTGTTTTCATAATAGAATTAAAAAAATGTTACTACATTTTTTCAAATTTATACGTTATAATTAGAATTTTTAGAATTTTTTGTATAGTTTGAAGATTTGAATATTTTTGATCGCAAATGATCGCAACGTTTTTGATCACAATCGCACGATTTTTCAATTTCATGATCGCGATCGCAATCGCACAATTTTTAATTTTCAAGATCGCGATCGCAATGCAAAAATTTGAGATTGCGTCCATCCTTGATTTCATAAAACACCCGCACTGCATTTTCTCCCTTTGCGCCTCCACTTCACATGCAATGCAACCATTCACAAGTAGAAGGACCAAAATAACAAAAAGGACATCATGTTACTACGCTGATGTTTCAAAATTAAGAAAGATCGACGGCAGTAAGTAAACACACAATAAACTTAATTTTTTTCTTCTTATCAGCAGACGATTTTCCACCAAAACAAATCCTAAAACGTTGCTATTTTTTTATATAAATTGACCGTAAATTGTTATTTTCTTTAGGGTGAATTTTTTATTTTATTAATCCAAACAATTTTTTTTTCATTTTTCATTCTGATTTATTTACCAAATTAATAGATAGTTTAGTAAAATATCAGTGACAGCAACCCGCCAAACAGCGGTGTACAGCGGCTTGCACACCTTATAGGAGGTTGCATCATTTCTACCTTAACAATTTGGTTATTTATTTTTTCAAATATACGGACGGAATGATGTGCTCCTACAGCCAGTCTCTAGGCCTACACCACTTTCAGTCTTGCTTCAAGTGTGCTAGTTTTATATTTGTCTGTTCAATTATTTGTCTCAGGTTTATTAATTGTTTGATTCAACAGTCTTCTAGTTATTCTGACCCACGGCTGGAAGGCTCTTCCCCATAAAATGAACCCCTTGAAAACCGAAAGACTTACTGCCCTTACATTACAGCCCAACTTATTGGGAGGGTCGGCAAAATAACTTGAGCGGCTAATTGTACTTATTTATTCGTACACACAAGGTGTCGCCAATGAATCGGTGTGAATACAAGATAGGGGACGAGCATACAATATCAACAGTATATCACACCAAGATAACAGATTATACCTAACAATGTTGAGAAACGTTTATATTTATTCGATGGCTCAACTCAATTCCACTTTTAGTTTAGTTATATGTTATGTGGGGTTGCGCACTACTAATAAATTTTGTGTTTTTGATTAGTTCAGCTTTGGTTGGAAGGATATCCAAAGTAAATTATACTACCCCCATGACTTGAGGAAAGGAAATAGGGGTTCCAGGACAGGGAGTTATGGTTACTAAATTGCTACTCTCTTCATTTCGGCCACAGAGTCTGTTGGGTTGCAGTGATGACTCACAAGTCACAAGGTGGCCTCATCTGAACCTGCTTCATTGTCAACTTAAGGCCTCGGCTTCAAGGGCAGACTGGAAACAGCCTGAAAATCAAACACAAAAATAATAACATGCACATAATCCACATATTAAGTATTTTTCATGCATACTATATAAACAACAATAATAAAAAAAAAAAATTGGAAATAGTCAAAGGACCATCTTTTCTCCAATTTTATATTAATGACAGTGAAAGTTGAGGAGCTGTAGACCAACTTTTTTTTTGCAACGAATTTTTCATTTTTTTACATCTATTTTATACAACCTCCACATAGTCCCCACATATATTCATGTTATTCAAATACTTTAAAAAAATTTTATATCAATAACAGCTTGTTTTTCCCATATAGTTAAAAACCGCATAATTTAGTTTTGCTCAATAGAATATTTAAATGATTTCTTTTTTTATTTCAATTGAACCAGTTTTACGGTTCAAAAACTATTAAAAGTTAGAAAAAAGAACTTAAGCTTTTTAGTGCTTCATTGCTAACTTAAAAAGTATTATCCCTTAAAAAAGTGCTGCGTTGCAAAACGCTTTCAAAATTTTAGGCGATTATCACATCCTACAGCTTGCACTTTCTCAAAACATCTCAAATTCTATATTTCATTCTGTGTGCAAATAATAAAGCGTTAATTAAAAAAGTTTGAAATTATTTAAACAGGAAAAGTCTGACCCGTGAAATTACACTGACTAGAGACTTATAGAGGGTAAGCTCCAGTGAGACTCACCTCAATTAAAGCAGTTCGATACTGGTCTTCAGGCAGCCCAAGATTTCGGGGCGGTAGATCTTTGCTGAATCTGGCCAGTGTAGCCTCTAGTTCTTCAACCGTCAAAATGATGCTTGGATCAAGCTCATGTTTTTTTATGAGGCCACATAAGTACTCGACGTAGTGTTTGCTGTAAAATTCGATTTAGTATATGTGTTTAAGCAGAAGTCATCACGGCCACTTGTTTTTTGGCATCAGACTGCACGGACATATATTTAGGGCCGGCCGCCTGACCTACTGAGCGATCGACCCTGAACCAAAATAGGCGCCCTGGCCCTTTTTAAATTCATGGGCTCATTAGCCCCCCCCCCCCCCACTAGGCAGGCCCCCAGGCTGCATGCAGATCATTTTAATAATTCTTCTTTTCAATTTTTTTTTAATTATGCCAAAATCAATTGCTTGCCATTTACAGCTATAGTTATTTTAAAATACCATAATGTTTTTATTTAATATTATTTGGCTCTATCAAGGAAATAAATCCATAAAAAATAAATTACAAAAAAAAATCAGATTAAATCACTAAAACTCATTGTTATTAAATTTCATAAAATTTAAATTAAAAACGCAGGGTGTTGAAGATTTTGGGACACAGTGGGTAAAGAGAAAACCATACTTACATGCAGTAGCCTGCATATCCTTCAACAACTTGCTCTTTGCATTGCCCTTCGACTAATCCCAATGGCGTGTCCATTTGCAAGCTGATTTTACAATTCTTGCTTTCCAAGCTTTGCTCACTGTCAGTATATTCCAAATCATCTACACCAAAATCAATCATCTCGGTCTGAAACAAAAACGAGAAAGTAAATCATAAGTTTTCAATTAAAAGCAAAATTAAAACATTTTATTAATTTATGTTCAATACTAATTCTGATTTGAATTTTGAAAAAAAGATCAGATAGTTCTCAAATTAAAAGGTTGCATTTAATTTGAGTTAATTTTTAAGTAATAAAAGTAAAGAATAATTCTGGGGAAAGTGGGGAAATGTACCATTCAGATAAATAGAGGCTGCCCTGACCCCGCTTTTTGTGTGCAATGGGGCTGTTCAGCTGGGCCATAATTTGTTTTGATTTGAGCAGTCAAAATTAATACTGTTTTGAAGCCCAAACAATAAAGACAAAAAATTTATCAGAAAATTAAGAAAAGGCCTGAATCACATTTAGAAAGTTGATATTTTAATTTTTTTTTTCAATCGAATTTTAGCATAGAAAAAATAAATTTTAATAAAATAAGATCTATCACAGCAGTCAAATCTTGTTTTAAGATTCTTATCTATTTTGAAACAAACAGGGCAATTAAACATTTTCTTTTGACTTTTATTAATTCTTATAGTTAGAATAATTTATAAAACTATGTAACTTACCTGCAGAAGGTGTTCGAGTTGCTCTGGACTTTTGTCTCTAAGATAATACATGCAGTTGCGATGATGGTGACAGTGCAACCCGAGAAGACGGCACCTAGCTGCAAATTTGCAAAGAGACCCTACCAAAAAGGGCTCAGCACAACCAGAGCAAAAATCGTGCTTGCAAAACGTGCACTGGAGGTGCATGCACCCTCCTTGGCTGAGAGAGAATCGGCTTTCACAGTTGGGGCACTGGAATATTTCAGCCAAAAGTATTTGGTCATCAGCTAGCTTGTCTTCATCCTTTAAATCCTTGGCGAAGGTGTCACAGTCTTTGTTGACGTGTCCTTCGGACCACTGCAAAAAAATAATGAAAAATGTTAAATATAATTATAATAATAATTTACAAATGTTCTTAAAACTTACTTGTCTTCTGCAAACTTTGCAAGTGACTGTGCCGCAGTGAGGACATGTGGTTTTTTGATTATTTGGAATGGCAATGTAGCCAGACCCACACTCGACCTATGACAAATAAATTGTAAATAATATTTTTCAAATTATTAAAAACTTCATTACTTTAATGCACCAAAGAAAATTGCTGTCATTCATCAGGGCAAAGTCTCTCATTTTTTCCTCAAATAGATCATAGACGTTTTCAGAAAGAAGAGTCTTCAGAAAAATAGTGATTTCCGAGAAGTATTTGAAGGTGTCATCTTGTGATCCACTAAAAATTAACATTAATAATTGAAAAAAAAATTCCAGTGGTAAAAAAATGATATTGTACCTTTTACCCAAATCAACAGGCTCATTGCAGAACATGCATGTCATACTCATAATGAATTTCTCTCGAATTTGTGTTGTAAAGTAAGTTTTTGCACAAGTGATGCAGCAGCTGTGGACACATCTCAGCATTGAGATCATCTTAAAAGAGAAGCGATTGAGTTAGATGCTTTTATAAGCAATAAAAGGTGCAACTTTTCACAATTTTGCCAAGTCTCACAAGATAAGATACAAAAATAATTACTTTATCTGCTGAAACTGTATCCAAGCACAGTGGGCATTGCTTGTTCAGGAAATTAAGGGCCTCGTCAGCAGTACTACAGTATTTTGAAGCTAGCTGGGCATCCTTTTCATCAAACCCCATAGATGTCAAAACTGACACTAAATTTGTGGCCTCATGCTTTGCATTTCCATCAGCAGGTTTTGTGTTGTCCTGAAGGTGAAAAGTGAGGGCAAAATTAATAATTGTTTTAAAAATACTTAAAGAATTACAAACCAACTTCAACTTTTTCTCAGCAGGTTCTTCTGCTGATGATGAACTGCTTGTGTTGGTATCAGCATCAGAAGACGACTCATTTTGCTCCTCCACAAGTGAGACAACTTCATTGGTAGAGCGGTCGTAAATTTCGATCCTATTAAAAAAAATTGTCTGTATTAAGAGTAAACCTTTACATATCTCCATATAACGTACATAAAATTATTGAAGGTCAGTGATCCTTCTCCCTTGCAATGAGAGCTACTGATGTGCTTTGAGATGCTGTGCACGGACAGAATTGTGTGGCATCGGGGGCATTTGCAGCCCATAAAGTAGTTTTCGAAGAATGTGGCCTCTTCTGCATTAATTAGCTTGGCGTGCAATTCTTCTAAGGTGCCTCCTGATTTAGCTGACAGGAAATGCCAGTTGGTTTTCCTCAAATCAAATTCGAGTCCACAGCAGCATTTTCCATGTAATATCGGTCTATAAAAAGAAATTTTTTAAATAATGCTTTTTATGTTTATGAATATATAAAATCAACAAGTTAAAACATGGATATTGGAAAAGTGCGGAGCAAAAACCATAATATTGCGGTGGGTCGACACAGATATTTTGACATCGATTCTTAATGTATGGGGGCACAGGGAACAGAAATCTGTTGTCCAGTCCACCTTCTAATATCCATAAGTTGTATAAAACCTACTTTTCGTTCATCGTGGAAGCACTGGAAGCTATGGTTTTGGCTACACCGGCGAGGTCAACGTCTCTCCCAAACAAACAACACAGAAGAGAAGTTCTCTCCAAAGTCTCCGAGTGGCATGAGCATAAAAGCACGAATCCACCGATCCACCCTAAGCGTGATTCATCCACGTACACCGCGTACCGCCAGTGGTTCCGCCTTTGTCCTCACTAACACTGTATTTACTAGTACAGGCCTCGGACCAGTTAACGCTGCGGCTGCAAAATTTAAAATTTTTATTCCACGGCACAAATTCACTGGAACAACAATGAAAAACGTAAAAATAGTCCCAGAAGTACTACCACGGATCAACGTGTGAACAAGTTGGGCAAGTTTGAACACGAATTCAGACCGACACTCCGCGCACACTTGGCGCGAACGAAAACAAATGACGATTGACGAATTATAGCATGTGTTTGTTTATTCCAAAAAGGAATCCAAAATTGCGTTCGTGAAATCCCTCCTCCCCTCCCGGCGTTCACCACAGGAGGCGCTGACTGCAGCCAAAAAAATTTGATGATTTTTTTACCCTGCTTATTTGGAAGCGACGCATGCGCGATAACGACTGTCTTCTTTCCCCTCCAGGTCCCCACCCTATTATCTAGATCGAGTTTTGGAAATTTTGGAATTAAACGAAATCTGCCAAACCTCCTTGAGCCAAACACTTCTGCCGTTGCTTCGGTACCACCCACCCAAAAATAAACAAAACAAACAGAAGTAACAGAACAGAAACTAATTCTTCAGAAGCAAATGCCCGGCTTGCTCTCCGTTACAGCCCGAAAAGGAAGCCAAATTAGCCGAAATCACGGGAAACTCCCGTCTTTAATTTTTAAATCGATTAACGAGAGAGTGGAGTGTGTCGTCTGTTTATAGACAACTTAAAATACATACTTCCGTAAGTTTAATTTAAATATGCCTCTTGGTCCCGAGTCCCAATGAATTTGTTTTATTATCTTGACGATGGTCTCAAAATTTCAACAGCTATGTAGGTTTTGTCCGAGAGGGAAGATCATACGGTCGAGGAGTCTGTGTGCCCAGAGAGGCGAGGTGGACCGACTTTGAGTTTTTGACAACACAGTGGGCTTGTTTTTGCAAGTACATACTTATGGAATCAACAATATTTTCACCTTAAAATGCCTAGTAAAATGATTATGGAATTTTATTTTAAAAGTCTTTTTAACATTCTTTATTTTTTGTTATCAAAATCAATTAAATCAAGACAAGTACAAATGTATTTTTATTTTAGAAATGATTGTCGAGCAAGATGAAAGTCAAGAACTTGTTGCTGCAGCCCGAGTTTTGCAATCGAGGGTTTGCAACTTAGTTCCTCTGCGGCAGCTGTGCATAAGGACCGTCATTCTGAACCTGCCAAAATTCTCGGCAGTCCCTCAGTTGATTAGATGTCTTCGTAAGTAAACCTTTTATTTAAATCTCTAAAACTTACTTTAAATCATGGTCTTTATTTCTCGGTAGCTCAAAGAGTGAAGTCGGACATCCTGATGAATATGCAGGATATGCGATGGCTTTCTGTAAATCACCGGACTACATTCAGTATTTCCCCGACGAATTGAAATATTTGATACCAGCCAACGACAATTCCTCTTTTTTTGGAGGTTTGATCAAAAATTGAATACCGATTTCATTAATAAAAATTATTCTGCAGTTAAAGAAAAGTGAAACAGTTGGCAGCAGCCCCCGAGTGGCCAAAGGTTGTGATTCCCCAGGGTCTCCTGCAGCGTCTGATCAACTCTACCCTGTCAAAATTTGACTTTGTTCTCTGTGGTGGCGAAAAGTTTTTCGAACCCGGGGGATTGGATTTGCAGATTTTGCAACTGCTCGCTGAAACCTCCAAGGGCATTACGAGCATCGTCGACCATCGCAGAGATTACTCGTCGCACATTATTCCACCCTCTAAAGGCAGCTGCATCATCGAGTACCTGGACCACCAATTTGGAGCACCTCGAATGCCTTACAAATCGAGCCAACTTGTCCAAGCTCCTGTTGGCCCCAAAGTTGCACACCCTTCACCTGAAAAACGTCTTTATCGCTCCAGAGGCCATGAAGGACAGTTCAGAGCCACTTCTGCAGAATCTTGTGCGCTTTTACTACAGTTTTAAATTTTCTTCGCCACCTTTGGCCGAGGTCATTGTTCCGCATGTCACATTCTTGAAGAACATTGTTCTGAACTGTCCAAAGTTGGAAGTTGGAAAGCTCAAAATGTTGCGTGAAATTTGGTGCCTCCTCTCATAATGTGCTCAACATCGTACTGCTGGATGTCTCATGCTAATTCCGCTGCCATATCTCTGTTGGAAATTCCCCCCCCCCCCCCCATTGCCTCATTAATTCTCTATATTTGCATTACAAGCTATTGGCAGTAAAGAGTGAAGTATGTGTTAGTTTATGATTAAATTTGTGATCAAAAATAGACACAGAAAAATTATAATTTTAACTATTGGAACAAAAAATGACAAATCGATGGCAATCTTTCAAAGTAACGCATTGCCAACTAGTTGTAGACTGTAGACTGAAAGGTGATAAGCTGAAATTTAAGTAAGTTTTTTCCAATATTATTCAGTCTATTATTTCAGTATATTTTAAGGAAATTCACCTGTTTTTAATTGAGTGAGATAATAAATGGAAAGGAAGACTGCAAATCAATATTGAATAAAATAAATTTACTATCTTAAACTTCAATTTCTGTATTTCACATCTCAAAGGCTGCATGCACAAATACCAAATTTCTAAATATAATATATACCCAGTCATTATATAATTATTAATTAATTATATAACAGTAAGTTTTATTTAAAATGTTGAAATGCTCTCAATAGTCTCAATTAATTTTAATTAAGTAATATACCAAAAGCATAATGTTCATTATTTAATATTAATTTATCACCTTTTATGTAGCCTAGCAAGTCCATTCTCCTCACGGCGCTCCTCCATTCCCCCACCCCCTCCCCCTCTTTAAAACAGCTGTTGTAGAAAAAGGCAACAAAAACCAATGCGAGGCTGCAATGCAAAACATGCTGAGTTCCTGATTATTTACGTAAGATTTCAACTCGATTGGGTCTTTTAATATTAAATTTGTGTATTTACTTTAAAGGAATGAGTAATTATTTTTAAGAAATTTATAATTTTTATTTCAGTTCTCACGCAGTTTGTTGTGTAACGTGAATTTTGGATGATGTTACGTAAACGTTTGGGACAAATTAAATGAATTGTTCGTGAGATGCTTCACAACCAGCTCAACTTCTTCTCCACTTTCCTGACTTTCGAAGCCCAAATATAAGGAGATGGTTGAAAGAATTGCCAACATGTTGTTCAAGTCGGTTTTGAGGTCTCCGGCTCGGACGTTTTCCAGTCTGACCTCATCTTCTGCGAATTTGGTTGGACCAGGTATACTGCCCAGGACAGTCCCTTTGCTGCCGACAGAGCATTTCAAATTCATCAGTCCCATCAGCCACACAGTAAAAACACTAGATTTATAAATTACAATTATAATAAAATTTAAAAAATTCATTCAGAAATTACGGAAGCTGAAACGAGAGTACAAAGCTGTTTGCTCCTTGTTGGCCAGATCAGGGTTTAAAGTAAACTCCAGAAATTTCCATTCGACCGTTTGGTTTGCCCAGAACAATAAAAGCCCTGGCAATCCTTCTCCGAATCAGCAACCTCCTGACAACGACAAGAAACCGAACAGAGAGGACGATGAGGAAACCAAAATTTCTTCTCTTCTGGCCAAAGCTTTTCTATGGATGCTGACAGCCTATCTGCTCATTGGTGTTGTTTCACTCCTCTTTCCGAGCAGCAACCAACCAGAGGCAAATAAAAATAAAATTTTTATACTTTTTAATTAACATTTAAATTTAGGTCACGAGGTACGTTTCCTGGAACGAATTTGTGCACCACATGCTGGCCAAGGGAGAAGTGGAGGAAGTGATTGTCCGTCCGGACATGGACATAGTTACCATCATTTTGCACGAGGGTGCGATCATCAAAGGCCGAAGGGTGAGAAGAGATAACCAACACATTTGAAAGCTAATTATTGTTTCGCACAGATTGACCACAAAACCTTCCACATGAACATAGTGGACACCAACAAATTTGAAGAGAAATTACGAGCCGCCGAACAGAGACTGGGAATCAATTCTGAGAACGGCGTTCCTGTGATTTACGAGAGAAATTCGGACACAGCCGGAAAGTTGCTGGCCTCATTGATAGTCGTAGCTCTGCTTCTCTCACTCCTCTCTCGCAGCAAAACTCTCAAAACTCCCACCAACATGGACCCATTTGTAATTAGTTTTATGTTCAAAATTGTTTTTAAATGTTGAAAAAATCAATTTATTTCAGTCGCAAATGAGTCGAGCCAAATTCACGTTGGTCGATCCGCTAACCAGTCCTGGGAAAGGAGTGCATTTCTCGGACGTTGCTGGTCTCAAAGAGGCCAAGCAGGAGGTCAGTGAGTTTGTTGACTACCTCAAGAGGCCGGAATACTACAAGAAACTTGGAGCCAAGGTATAAAAATTTTGGATGAAATAGGGTAAATTGTAGTAAAAATTTATTCCAGGTTCCGAAAGGAGCTCTGCTGCTTGGACCTCCCGGCTGTGGCAAAACAATGCTTGCCAAGGCTGTTGCGACTGAGTCCAATGTTCCGTTCCTCTCTATGAATGGCTCCGAGTTCATCGAAATGATTGGAGGTCTTGGTGCTGCCAGGGTCCGAGATCTCTTCCGCGAGGCTAAAAAGCGCTCGCCATGCATCATTTACATCGACGAAATCGACGCCATTGGCAGAAAGAGAAGTTCAGGAACAGGCCAATTTGACGGAGCTGTTGGAGAAGGAGAGCAAACCCTGAATCAATTGCTAGTCGAAATGGATGGCATGGCCTCCAAGGAAGGGGTTCTTATGCTGGCCTCGACCAATAGAGCAGATGTCTTGGACAAAGTAAGGAATAAATACTTTTTTTATTCATAATATTTACTTATTTATTGACATTATATTTTCATTAATATGTATTTTGTCAGGCGTTGCTGAGACCTGGAAGATTTGACAGGCATATTTTAATTGATTTACCAACACTGGAGGAGCGCAGGGAAATTTTTGAACATCACCTCAAAGTTATCAAATTAGAAAATACTCCCAGCTCTTATTCCAGGCGAATGGCATTTTTAACCCCAGGATTTAGCGGTAGTTTTTCTTCTTTGTTAGGAAAAATTTAAGATTATTTATTTTTTAGGTGCTGATATTGCCAACGTTTGCAATGAGGCGGCTTTGCATGCTGCCCGGGACAAGCACAAAATTGTTGCAGGCTCCGATCTTGAGTACGCAGTTGAGAGGGTGGTCGGTGGCACCGAGAAAAGGTCCCAAACAATGTCGCCCCAAGAAAAGATGGTTGTCGCCTACCACGAATCGGGCCACGCTCTGGTCGGTTGGATGCTGCCAACAACGGATGCCTTGCTGAAAGTTACCATTGTTCCAAGAACAAACATGGCCCTTGGTTTTGCCCAGTATTCTCCTTCTGATCAGAAATTGCACACCAAAGAAGAGGTTTGTTATAAAATTTTTTTTTTATATTGAATTAAGAACATAATCCAATGTAATTGGTCTTAAATGAATTTATTTAATTATAATACTTTATTCTTTTAAACTCATATAGTTATTTGAGAGAATGTGCATGGCTTTGGGCGGACGTGTTGCTGAGTCCCTCACCTTCAACCGAATCACCACTGGTGCTCACAACGACTTGCAGAAAGTCACAAAAATGGCTTATGCACAGGTAATTATAATTAAAATAAAAAAGATTTATTTTAAATTATTCGCTTTTAGGTGAAGCAATTTGGTATGAGCCCGGAGGTAGGGTTGGTCTCATTTCCGGAGGAGAACTCGAGAGAAATGGGAAAGCGGCCGTACAGCAGACAACTTGCTGGCATGATGGATCGAGTGGCCCAAGACTTGATCGCCAGGGCCTACAAAGTGACTGAAAAGGTCCTGCAGGAAAACAAGGAAAAACTGGAAAAGGTTATAATTTTCTCAAAATTTAAATCATTTTTTTCTGCAATTTAAAAATTCCATTTCAGATTGCCGAAGAGTTATTGAAACGAGAAGTGCTGAATTACGACGACATTGTGACTCTGATTGGGCCTCCTCCTCACGGGAAAAAGAAGCTGATCGCGCCTGCGGACTTTGAAGTGTCAGTCAGCGAAGACGCTGGCGTGGGCAACGACACTCCAGACGCAGCCGAACAAGAAAAAGAGTGAATGGATCTAATAGTTTCCCATGATAATAAAACTGAACATGTTAGAATGCAAGAGTTTTTGCAACATTTCGGTTCATAAGCAAATGACGTGTAAAGAATGTGTCTTGCGGCCACACTTGTTTTCTAGCAACTGGCACACACACACACATACCATTCCCACTGTCTTATTTTGCGCATTGCAGAGATTGCAAGGAGGCGACGCCAGCAGTTTGCTGCGCGGCACTCTCCAATAAAATTGTCTCACACCAACTTGCTGCTCTGCATGTTGTGTGTTGTCAGATCTAAAGTAAAAAATGAAAAGGAGTTTTATCATATTTTTGCATTTCAAAACAAACAGTGTGGATACGGTTTTTACTTTTGCTGAGTAAGACGCACTTTTTAACATTGTGTGGATTTGCGCGGTTCAGTTTCCCTTGGTAGTCTTTTAGTTCAGGGTGACATGAGCTCTTCGCCAGACGTCAAATGTGAAGAAGGTATACAATTTTTTTTATATTTTCAAATTGGGTTTTATTGGTGGTTGAAAAGGACAGCATGGGAAGTCTCAGTCGGGAATAAATTGGCTAATGATAGGTCTTTTAGTAAGACCCTTATGTTAATCGGGGCGATAAGATAGCCGACGATCATGTTATTCTTTGTGCAGTTAGCACTCGTGTCTAGAAAGAAAAAGATGTGCCAATATAGAGGTTCGTATGTGATCAAATGGACCTTTGATATGGCACGTTTGTCTCTCAGAGATATTAATGACATTTTTTTTTTTATCAAAAACAAAAGGAGACACTCAGACTTGCTGAGGTTTGTTTAAATTGTTTTTTAACATTGTAATTAATTTGTGATAATATTTTTTTATTGAAGAAAATAACTTCTAAAAATAAATTTTTAAAATTATTTTTGCCACCTTTTGCTGTTAAAAAAATAATAGTAGTTACATAATAATTAAATTATGTAAAATAATTTTTGTTAATTTATATATAATAATTTATGACAATTTTTTCAGCAGTTCCCCCTTTGGACCCAATCGAAGAAATATTAAAGCAGGCCGGTGACTGGGGGCCTGCGCAACTATTGCTTTTGGCTCTTTTTGGCGTATTCAATATCAGCGCCGCTTGGCACTATTTTGCCCAGACAGTCATCAGTATCTCTCCTCCATTCACGTGCGCCACACCAGGGCCTAGTCCGTGCTTTGAGTGGGTCAATGGCTCCAGCACCGAATCTCAACCCTGCGCCTCAGGATGGACGTTCGATCCGCAGTCTCCAACAACTCTCATCGTGGAGGTGAAAATAAATTAAAATAACCTTAATTTTTCCTAGTTTTTTTAATTTGCAGACTCAATGGGTGTGTGACAAATCGTGGATTCCCTATTTCGGCCAGAGCGCTTTTTCTCTTGGCAGCACAATTGGCACCCTTTGCCTGGGGCTGCTGGCAGACAAAATCGGAAGGATGCCCGTGCTGGTGATTTCCAACACAATCGGCGCCGTGGCCAATGTAGTGACAGCCCTCTGTCCTACAACCATAGCTTCTTATGCAGCGGTTCGGCTCCTAGCTGGAACTGCGAGCGACTCCAATTTCAACATGATGTACCTCCTAGGTATATTAATTTTTTTAAGACAGTCAAATCATGTTGTTACAAAAATTAGGTTATTGAATGTCAGCAATTCTTTTTCACCAGAGATAAAAATAGCAGAGCTCAAAAATATTTCAAATAAAAAATTAAACTCACAATTTTTTATTTTTCTATTAAAATAGTGCTGAGGGATTTTCACTCTGAATTGAAATGATTATAATTTTTTTATTCAAAAATAAAATACAAAGATACAAAAAGAATAAGCTTTGTCCCTATTTCACCATTTTTTTTTTTTTTAATTTAGAAATTCCCAACAAATTTTAAGTTCTTAAGTTAATTTGATTTTTTTAACAGTGATGGAGTACTTGCGGCCGAGCTTGCGATCTGTGGGTCTGAATTTGGCCGTTGGAGTTTTTTACATGGTCGGCTGCGTCTCGGTGCCATGGATCTCACATGCAGCAGGCCACTGGCGCTTTTTCATTCTGATCACTGCCAGTCCTGCCCTGCTGCTGCCAATCGTCCCCTTTCTAGTTCCAGAGAGTGCCAGGTGGGCCCTTGCAGCAGGAAAAGGTCCTCAGGCAGCATTTCAATCGATGCAGAAAATTGCCAAATTCAACAAGAGAAAACTTCTGCCAGAGGATGAAGCTAATTTTATAGTAAATATTTAGATTTCAATTAATTTATAAAAAAAATTAATTTTGCTCTTTGAAGGTCCGCGCTAGTCGGTTGAGGCCAAATCCTCGGGCTAACATATTGGGACTCTTTTGCTCTCCCCGTTTAAGAAGGAATACTCTGATTTTGTTATTTAAATCGTGAGTATTGAATTGTTCTCAAATTTGAAACCTGACTAAATTTTTTTTACTTATAGAATGGTGCTAACTTTGTGTTACGACGCAATCTCAAGATATTCGGTCGGCCCAGACCCTTTAGCCATGCTCAGTTTTGGATCTCTAGTCATTTTGCCTGGCTGTGCTGTGGTTGCTTTCATGCAAGAGAAAGTCGGAAGGAAGTTGCTCGCTTTGTCAGCATTGTTCTTCTGTGCTTTCTTCATCGCCATTGCCGGAGGAATGAGAAAAGTTGACGTTTCGCACAGTATGATCACAAAATAATCTGATTTTTATTTATTCTTATAAACTGAAATATATACAGGTTACTCGATTAGTATGGCGCTTTTGGGGAGGTTTGCAGTTGTTGTCGCTTACAACTCAGGTGCACAATACACTGCGGAACTTGTGCCGGCGCAGGTTCAAGCAGGAGGCGTTGCAGCCATCCATGTCGCAGGTTACGCTGCCTCAATTTTGTCTCCACAAGTACTTTACTTGGTATTTTAATTACATCAAATTAATAACAATTGAGTTATAATTTTTGTATAATTAGGAGCAACTTTATCCGTCCCTGCCGGAACTTGTACTTGGCATACTGGCTGCCTTAGGAGCTGTTTTATGTTTATTTTTACCCGAAACCAGTCACAAGGCTCTCCCAGTCACTCTTGAAGAGGGCGAAGAGTTTGGAAGAGGGGAAAGTTACTTGCCCTGCACACCATGTGGAGTGAATAGGCGTCTGAGTGAGACTGATTTGGTAGATGATAAATAAATTCTTACTTTGGAAAATATTAAATGATGCGTTGTTTACATTACACACAGATATAATGTACCCAATTCAGAATTCATCACTTCTTAAATTAGATCAGTTTGCAGAAAGAATTTTTTTAAATGATAATTAAAAAATAAATTATGACCTTTTCAATCCAAATTTAACTATAAAATTATAATTTATAGGATTTTATTTTCCAAGAAATCAATTCACTGGCTGACAATGAGAATGAGAATATATAAATAAAAGAGAACTATAGGAATGTTATTATCATTAATTTCATTATTATTAAGTAATAAGAAATGAAATTAACGGATTTTAAGAGACATATAATTTGCCAAATTAAATACCATGTTATATTAGAGCAAAGCCTGTGCTTATTAGAAGTGCTTATCAACCACAAAAGAATGACCAACCAAAACGTAGTTGCTTTAATTGACCAGCCAACTAAGAACCAGCCAATTGTCCATGTCTATGTACCAGTTTTGCTGGGTTGGGTCTTGGGTCATCACGGGGAATCTCCCTTGTTGTCCTTGGCCTGTGGCTCTTCACTGCAATCAAGTCTCTTCTTTTCCCGCTGACGCCGTGCCAGGAAGAAGTTCAAATCTTGTTGTACTCCTATAAATTTTTCATTTCTCATAACTATAAAATTGAATAACAACAGTTGTGAAGGAAAAATGGCACATTAAATAATAAATAAAGATATATTCATTGCAAAAAAAAATCAACAAATTGTAATTGAATTTGCAAAAGGTGTGGAAAACAAAAATTGTCTGTTTTTTTAATTACCTGAACAATCGTTCGTAGGAATGGCATTGGTCCTACAGGAACAGTCGAAGGGCCTCTTGTTTGGCAGTATGATCTTGCCATGTCAGCCTCTCGCCAGTCTCACCAGCAACAACCGCATAGTCGAGGGTTGTTTTTCCCCCATAGAGATACAAATTTTTGAGCCACTTTGACTGCTAGGCGTAGTCTTTTCCTAAGAAGTAAATAAAAATATATTTGACTTTTTTTTTTTTTAATTAATACCGCTTAATACATTATACTAAAATAGCAACAGACTAACCTTCATTGAAGGGCTTCTGTCTAAAAATAATCGGTAGGACAAATAATGTCCCACAGCACACATGATGTCCCAGCAAAAGGCGGGCGGATGTCCCAAGCCCATCCATGTGTGTATTATAGAGCACAATGTCTATGTCGAGAAAAAAGCTTGTCCTGGACGTGACGAATCTGCCTGGCTAAAAAATACAGCTTTAAATATTGGGATGCCGGCATTAATGATTTATCTCAACAAAAAAGAGGGCGTGGCACGCTGAGACTTTGGAGGGAATTCTTTTTCGGTGAAGCGCCGCTCCCTGATTGGACGATCGCCTCGGGGCACGGGGCCCACATTTTGGAGGCTCACGTCTCGTTTTTTACGCAAGCCTCCAGCGTTGCACTGGATGCGGGACGGAAACACTGTCTCTTCAATTTGTGTCACAACAACAAAACACGAAAGATCATTGAAAGGTTACGTCTGAATTTATTCACGTTTTATTCAAGCATTTTCACTCAGGTGAGATGGAGAAAAATTGAGCGAAAAACAAAAAAAGATCGTGCGTTTAAATCTCACTTGTGCCCCGAATTGCGCGTTTGTGCTGAATTCGTCATTCGTCCTTCAACAGGTGGCTTAACCACTCCTTTATTTTCTCAACCTTTTCATTTTCAGAATGGAGGTCTTGGAGAGGCTGTGGCTGCTGACGGCGATCTTGGCCTCGACTTTGCTCGTCGTGCAACAGGTCGAGTCGTGCAACGAGGCCCTTTGCGCGCCCGTGGTCAGCAAGTGCATGTTGACGCAGTCCTGCAAGTGCGAGTTGACCATCAAGAACGACTGCACCTGTTGCAAGGAGTGCTTCATGTGCCTCGGTGACAAGTACACCGATTGCTGCTCGTGTGTTGGTTCGTCACAAAAAATCATTTTATGCAAATCTTTGTTAAAAAAATTTAATCGCAGGCATTTGCCCAAAAAAGAACGACACAAAGTCGTTGGGCGATTTGAGCAAGCAGAGCAACGTCGAGGACTTCAACGACGACTACACTGGTCTGTTCACTTTGTACACCGACCACCCTGACGAGTTCAACAGGTGGAAAACTTTCACTTACCCAGTGGAGATCGACATCTCGACGTACAACCCGAAAGTTGAGAAAGACATCAAGTACCAAACAATTGGTTAGTATTTTTAACGGAACTTTAAACAAATTTATTTGACAAATTGGAAAAAACAAAGTCTTTAAAAATATTAAATTACATTTTTTCCAATCATGATTTCAATGGAAAAGCCCGATCTCTTCATTTCCATGATCATCTCCTCGAGTGTCAACTTCTTCAAACAAAAATGATTTCAATGGTTTTTAATTTTATTAAAATAGTTTTTAAAAAAATCAAAAGTTTTCTCATCTGTTAAATTAAAATTTTTTAATCTTTTTTGTTGTTTTTCTATCTAAAAATATTTTCCTTCAGATAATGAAGAGCAGAAGGTGCACAACACCAAGGACAAAGTTGTGATTTTGAACTGCACAGTCATCTTCCAAACGCAATGCATGTCGTACACCAAGTGCAGGGACACCTGTCTCACCATGGGAGCGTCCAGCGTCAGGTGGTTCCACGACGGGTGTTGCGAGTGTGTCGGAGAATCTTGCATCAACTACGGAATAAATGAGAGCAGGTTTGAAAAACCAAATCTTGAAATTTCCAAAATTAAATTATTTTGCTGTGGCAGGTGTACTGATTGTCCGATGAAGAGAGGTGATGACGAGTTTGACGTGGACAAGAATGACTTGGTCTACGATTCAGAAGTTGTACCTGACGAGGAGGAGAAACCTTTGGACTATGAAGAGGCGACCAGTCGGAAAGTACCTCCCGAAGAAGAGGAGGTCAAGAAAGAGTGACCTTTAGGCATTTTACTCTAAGAATCTCCGCTGTGCCATTTTATGCCTTCCAATTCATGGACTGATGGGTTAAATATTTTATATTTTTTTGTATTTATCTATCAAACATATCCAAATACTTATAACCTACTTTCCGAGAGATCAACAAATTTTAATACTCGCTTAATTTGTATCGTAAAGTGAAATGACAATTAAAGTAATAATCTCTGTTTAATAATGATTTCTCTTCGAATGTATCACAATGTGGGGTTTGATCGGCAATGAAAAGTGATGTGTGCTATAAAACGCAAAGCCTAACTGGCAAATCTTATCTCTGAGGGTGGGGCGCTGATAAAGATGTGAGATGACACACTAGAAATTTGTGTCTGGACAGGAGCGCACATTTATCAGGTGACACAGAATGAAGCTTGACTGAAAGCATGACTTCCTTAGAGCGGCAAGTAATTTTACTAAACAATTTTACCTTATGCAAGATGTTAATATTTCTTTTTTTAATAATTTAAAAAAATTTTTGGCCGATGATTTTAAAATTTCAGAAAAAGTGGGGGGGGGGAATATGACACACTAAATAATTTGTTATGCAGGCTCATGAAAATTGAAAACTTATTGTTTATATAGATTGCTATCTTGCATAATTTCAGGAAGGTGTGACAAAGGCATTTAATCAATATTTCATAAATCTATATCAAAGATCATAACCGATAAGTACCTACCAACCCTTTCCCTATACCTGAATCGAAGAGAAGCAGTTTCTACCTTTATGATATGAGTTATCAAAATCTTTATTCGAGTTTTAGCCTTTTTATTTTACTTTTTCATCGTGAACAATTTTTGTTAACAAAAACACAAATGACTCGAAAGAGGAAATCGCTGCTATCGACTTGAGCTACTCGTATGTGGCAAATATTTACTCGTCGTGCTCCTCATCAGTGCACAACAAAGCATTCTCTCTTTACTAACCATTTTCCATTCTCTTTTAATTCAAACTTGAAATGTATACAGAGATGGTCAAAAAATAACTATCTTGGTGAGGATAAATTGAAATAAATTGTGTGTCTGCGTCTCGCTTTTGAGTCTCACTCAGTATGTCACGTACCGAGAGTACAGAGGGTTGATTGATTGCACGTGAACTATCGGTGGCCTTTGGTGCAACAATTGAGACGGGAACATACGAGCAGTGCAAACAATTTTTAAGTTGTCAGCGCCACGAGCGTCTGAAAGCGTCCGAGTGCATAATAGAGAGCATTTATATAGGACGGTGCGCGCTCGTTTTAGACTTGCTGGCAAGACGCGCTTTCCACAGCGCTCACAGTTCTTCAATTAAAATAATTAACAGCGGTCGAGATTTGCGCGGCGTAAATCTGTTGTGCGCCGTCTTTGATTTCTTGAATTATTCACGCGTGCATTTTCGAGTGTCTCGGCATGAGTGGCGAGGACGAAAGTGATTCCTGCGGCGGATCGGCCCTCCGAGAATGTGTCACGCGATAGATTCAGGTCATAAATAACGCTATCAAATATGTAAGTTCACCTCAACCCCTTCGATTTAACCCCCACTGCGTGATGAAAATCTCTTCTCGTATTTAGCGCCGGAAGTGTCAGATATACGCAAACTTTTTGGCACGCAACACATCACTCAGCACTCAAACCAATACCATAATTATACTATTTTCAATTGTAATATTGGTTCATAAGTTTCTTTTTTGAAAAAAAAAGTAGTTTGTTTGTTTCTGGCACATCCTTTTAAAGTTTCTAAGAATTCAAAATTCATTGTTTTATTTAGTAATTTCAAAAAACTTGCAAAAAAAACCACACATTTTATTCATTTATTTATTTATTAATTTTTTCAATTTTTACGCGTGTTTTTTTTTGTACTCTATAAATAGGATTACAGACTAGACTGTGACAAAATGATGGAAAAAAATGGAATGGAGCTGTTTGTTTTTTGTTTTTTTTTTTCATTGTTTTGAGTGCCAACTTCCTTCACTCATTTTTTTTTTTAAATTTACATTTTTTTTTATAATTTTACATAAATAAACTATACACCTCAAATTTCTATTGCTAATTTGAATCCGAAGTCAGGTTTGCGCTGATTTTTAAAAACCTTAGCTATAGAACTGTAATTTTGATTTTTTTGTTACATTTAAACTAAATAGTATAAGTGGAAATATATTATATCTATATAGAAGCAGAAAATTGAGAAAATATAATTAGATTAAAATTTTCATTTTACTCAATCAACCGTCATTGAGCCACTCAACGATAGACTAATCCGTTTAGGATTTAGGTGCGTCGTTTTTTTTGCACAAGACACGTGAGCCAGACGCTTATTTGCACAATTTTGAAATGAGCTGCTTTTTATCTCGCGAGGCGCGCAGCAGACAATTTCACATTTTAACTTTATAGCCATGCTGTGTCTTTTGACATCATCCTAACATAATTATGTTGTTTTTGCTGGTCTTTAAAAATTATTCCGCCGAATTCAAATATTTTAAATTAGAGACTAACATAAAAAACACGGCAATTTTCAAGGGCCATAAGCAAATTAATTTTACTTTAATTTATTTTCCTGCTCACTCTCTCATAGATAAGATCAAATGAGTCAAGTGTATGAGCATTTCGGCCTAAAATTCAATAATGGAAGGTCAGTGAAGTGAGATGATTGATAGGTACGCCAATTATTTTTGTTAATCCTATTTAAAGCTTAACAAATTAGTATTTGTTTCAAAATGATTGTAATAAAAAAAAACTATTGAAAACACGTCATTTGATTAATAATTAAAACTTTTTGTATTTTTTCTCAACGCTTTTTGATATAGTCACAATGGTAATTAAGTTTGATGAATTTCACCCCAATTACAATTGGATAAAAAATTAAGTAAAATATCTATTAAAGAGGGCGAAATTGAATTATTATATGTTTATTTTTTACATATTCCCACGTGCAATTTTCAATATTTTGCAGTCGACGATACAAAACAAGTGAAATGTCTGATTTATATTATGTACTTATAGTCACTGTATTTTCTCAGTCACATACCAAATGAGCGCCAAGTGTGAGCAACACCTTTCTTCAAATGAATCATGAGTTGGAAGATAGGAAGTGAAAAAATATATATAGCAAGCGACTTCCCATTTTCTGTTTTGAAAGATATAATTTTTTTGTCCATCCATCATCTATGATGATGATTAGTTTTTCATATATTCTTATAGAAGCAAGTGTTATTGGGAAATGTGCCTTTCGTGGCAAAGTAGGAGTTCTCAGAACAGTTTTTAGGTCGGAGGCCGGAGTGGAAAGAAACGCAAGGACGGCTCGTTGGTTTCAATTTTACTAATTTGAGAAGGACCTTTTACATTCAAAAGCCAAAAACTTCTATGAGTTTAAAGTGTTCCATTTTTTTATTTCAACCACACGAAATGAAAAATTAAAATTCATGAAATCTAAATTTTTGAGAAAAGCAAATATGTAATGAAAGATCAAGTTACAATAATAATAATAATAATTAATAAATTATGACCGAGTTAGGAAAACAATCAATTTAATTGATTTTATTTTTGAATGTTTCTCACGTGTCATCGATTTTGGCCGTGACCTTGAGCAGAGGATGGCAAGTTCTGTAAAATTGTATGATAATGATCGAAAATCCAAGCGGCCCCCCTGGCTGATTAAATATTGATGAGCGACGCCTACAAAATCAATGCTGCCCTTCCGTGGAAATGAAACGGAGGGAGCGGCCCGAAAACAAGGCGCGCTTTCCGAGCCCAACACCGCCGGGGATGATTTAATATTTAAGAGGGACGAGCCTCGATAAAAAGGCTAATCTCACATGCATTATTCGCCCGAGAGAAAAGACAATCGTAAAATTCGTTTCCTTAACTTATGCGCGCCGGCTGACCCCAATAGGAAATAAATAGACCTGCTGCTGGACGGTTCTTAACGCGCGCAGCTTTTTATTATTTTATATTTCCCCCTTCGGGTGGGTATTGATTGCGAGGGCCGGTGGTCAAGTCATAATAGGTGGTGGTCAGACACACGTGAGACTTGGCCCAGGTCGCACACACCACCATGTCTCGTCGCTGCCTCCGCCGCTTCTTCGACGCCTCCTAAGGTGACAAATAAGCCGTTGAATTCCCAAATTTTACTTATGCACCTTTTTCAATTGTATTTTAACAATATAAAACAGTTCATATAATAAAATTATTTATTAATGATGAATTTTTAACAAAAAATACATTGCAGCTTTAAAAAAGTACAAAAAAAAACTTTTGCAATGACAAAAAACATGGATCAATATCTTTAATATTACAATTCACCCTTAAAGTAAAAATTTAATTTAAAAACAATTTGTGAAATTATCTGACACGTTTAATATTATAAAATAAAATTACATGTTTAGTTTAAATAAATTTCATTTAATAATATCATATTATTATTTTTATTTTCACATTTTTTAGCTTCAAATTTTCAAAAGTAGATTGAAATATTTCCCTGTAGATAAAAGATTGTCACCTATTTTTTTCATTTGAACACAATAATTCAAATTTCTTGTTGTGCTGGTTTATTATTGCGCTGGAGAAATTAAATTTTAACCAATTTTTTTTCACGGCAAAATGCTTTTGTTTTTAGGGTGGGAGGAATGCTCCTTCCCACAGGCGCCGCGCTTTTGCTGATTTTGGCCGTCTCGGTCCAGGAAACGGCCTCGCAAGACCTTTTCAGGCCAAATGACACCTTTGACCTGAAACACCATCTCAGCGTTACATCAGCAAACCATGAGCAGCAGCAGCAGCACTCGGGAGGAATCCACGTGGCCAGTTGGCGGTGGGACGAGATCGGCGTGTTTTTCACCTTCACGGCCTTCGTCCTCATCACGGGTCTCGCAAAAGTTGGTGAGTGTCCATTAAAATTGCCTCTTTTTACATTTTTTAAAATGTATATTTCAAACGAGCGCGATCAATAACAAAAAGATGAATGAATAATGATTGCGAGTAAAATTATACGGATTTTAAAGCAAATAAAATTTTTACAAGAGCAAAACTAGAATAACTAAATTAATATTCATCAGCATTTATTACGATTTATAATAAACTAAATTAAGAACGTAATAAACATGAGAAAACCTTCATAAAACATAAAATTTATTAGAGAATTTCGACCTCAAAATCAGTATGCAACTGTGGACATTAAGATATAAAGAAGCAGCAATTCGAAAAATGATCTATTTTCAAAGAATCTCCAAAGTAATCAAAAAATAATCAATGATCTGAATCAAATGTAACAAATAAACTAATTTTGTGCTTATTTTTGTTAACACTTTGATTGAAATGAACGTGATGGATTTCAAAATTAGTATTTTGGTTTGCATTCTCCCTTGTGATCAAAATTGATACATTTGGTTGATTTCTTATTTAAAAACGGAAATTTAATGTAAAACTTTTATTACCTTTTGAACGTTCCTTAAAAAAAATTTTAATACAAAAAATTTTCAGCTTTCCATCACGTACACTTTTTATCATCACGAATACCGGAATCATGGTAAGAGCAGATTTTTAAATATTTCCTTACATAAATAATAAGAACGTTCTTGAATTTCAGTTTGATGATTATAATGGGAGTCGCAGTTGGCGGTGTTTTGTAGTAAGTGTCGCTTTATATATTTACTTCTTGCTCTCGATCTTCGGCCCTATCGGAGAAATCATTTCCGCGTTTGTAAATTTCGCTTTAGTTCTCCGCATCGCATGTCATGCTGCACCGCCCGTTCAACTGATAAATAAACTCGCTCTCGTGCCGGTTCAAAAAATAAGTGTGTGTTTTGCGCAGTGCTGCGGGTGTGCAGGGGCCAGAGGCTGCGGCGATGGCCACGGACAAGATCCTCGACGACCACCCGAAGGTGAATCCGACGCCGATGCACGAGTCATCCTCTGTCAACCAGCAACCCTTCATCATGCCAATGTTCACGCCAAGACTGTTTTTCCTCGTGCTCCTTCCTCCGTAAGTAAATTTAATCTACAAATGATTAAATAAAAATTTTGTTTCAGAAAATTATAAGTTTACTGATTTTAATGAAATATCATAAGGTTCAAATAAATACAGAATATAAATTTAATTTTTATTTTGGTTTAGTAAAAAGTAAAAAAAAAAATTTAACACATGAAAAATTTAATTTAACAGGGTCCTGGAGACCTTTCTGTAGCATTTCAAACGCTTTAAAGACTTTCTTTTTAAACAAAAACTGACGAGACTTGAAAAAGACAAAATTTTCCGAGCATTTACGGCCTCCTATAGATTACTGAAAATTTATAACTCTGTCAAATTGTGTCAAATCATTTTGAAAATATCAATCAGGATGTCAGATATTTTGAAAGTTGCATTACCAATGAAATTGAAGAAAAAGTTAAATAAGATTTATTTTTCTATTAATGCCGCGTTTAATTAAAGTTCACAACCTTGTTCTATACTGGCCGTGCCACGCGCTCCAATCCAGACAAATATTTTATTAAAACACGAATGATTCCAAATTATTCAACGACGACCCTCTTTCTTCAATAAATGTTTTTTTCTTTACCGATTTGTCGCGTAAATAAGGTATTTTTCTCGGAGGGTAGTTATTTATTCCTAGATTACTGACCTTGTTTCCGTAAGGTAAATTACCGACAAACATTATTAAGATTCGCCTTGCTGAAAAATTAATGTGTGCGGCGCGCGGATAATCAATACGCGTGGTCATTATTTTACGCACGTTGACAGGTCACTAATGCTGTTTACTCACTTTGACTACACAGGGTCATTCTGGAATCGGCGTATTCGCTGTACGACCGAGCGTTTGCGGACAACCTGACCACTATTTTGCTGTACGCCGTTGTGGTGAGGCCGATGAAAAAGTAATCAGTCGAAAAGGAATAATAATTTTCATGTTTTCTGCAGGGCACCCTTTTCAACACATTTGCGATCGGTACTGAATGATATAAAAAAAATTCATTCAAAAACATTACATTTTTATTATTCAGGAGCACTTTTGTTTGGAATTTACAAGATGGGTATCATGGGCTCGCTGCGAGATTTCGGCGGATTCGCCACGTCTTCCTATTCACTGACGCTGCTGGACAGCCTCGTTTTTTCAGCCCTCATTTCGGCCGTCGACCCGGTGGCCGTTTTGGCCATTTTTCAAGAGGTCGGAGTCAACAAAGATCTTTATTTTCTGGTTTTCGGAGAATCGCTTTTAAATGGTAAATTTTTTTACAAATTTTGTACGCTTAAAAATTTCAAGTGACTTAATTAATTTCTCTTGAATTTAAAAATAATTTTACCATGCATTCAAAATTGAAAAAAAAACCCCACCAAATTAATGAATTTCTAAAACCACGTGAAAAAATAAATTCTAAATAAGACCAGATTGCAGCATTGAATTGTTAAAATTTGATATTGAAGAAATTTGTCATTTGGTTTTTTACTTGAAACCTATCAAGGGACAAAAATTTAATTAAATTACTCAAAGACCAGCTTGAAAAAATCTGAAACTGGAGTTTGAAAAAAAATAATATTTTTTACAATTCAAGACAAATTTAATTAATTGCGCGTACAGTTTAGCTTATTTTAAAAGGATTTTATTAAAGTAACCTTAAATTTTGTCCAGACGCCGTGACCGTCGTTCTCTACACCACGATGGTCGCTTTCACGGAAATGACGACGATCCACGGCGAGCAATACGCGCTCGCGATTCTCTCGTTTTTCACGGTGAGCTGCGGCGGCCTTTTCGTCGGAATCATCGGCGGCCTGCTAACCGCTCTCATTACCAAAACGACGCAGGACGTCAGAGGTGATTATTCAAATTTGTGTCAATCAGACGAGAGATGACAAGGTTGTTTGACGTTTTGTTCAAGTTGTGGAACCTTTGGCAGTTTTGGGAATGGCCTACTTGTCATACCTAAGCGCAGAGTTGTTCCACTTTTCTGGCATCATAAGGTAAAGAAAAATATTCAATTTTGAATAATAATTCTGATTTTTTTTTATATTGATGGTATTTTATTCAATTAAAAGTTCTCTATTTTGTTTTTGTAAAAAAAGACAAAATGACAAAAATCGCGATCTAATAGTTCGCACTCTTAAATGTTGAAACAGGGATTTTAAAAAAAGTTCATCTTTTCCCCCAAAAAAGTATCTAAATTTTGGTGGAAAACCCCAACTTAAACCCTTAGGAGTGCGAATTTTTCGATAGCGATTTCGATTTAAATATAGGAACTTTGTCTCATTTTGAAATGAAGAGTAAAATTCATGACTGGAGAAGGCCTTAAATTTTCCTTTTTTTCCGATAAAAAATTAATTTTTAATTTCTCCCTTGACAGTATCATAGGCTGTGGTTTAGTCCAAGCTCACTACGCGTTTAAGAACATATCACACAAATCCTACACCACCGTGAAATACTTCACGAAAATGCTCAGGTACGCCAAAAATAACTTTTCTTTCCTATAAAAAATCGACCAAACCATGGCGTGCAATTACAGTTCCACCAGTGATGCAATCATTTTCCTATTTTTGGGAATGGTCTTGGTCAGCGACAAGCACGTTTGGCACACGGGCTTCGTTCTCTGGACCCTGTTGCTCTGCCTGATATGCAGATTTGTTGGTAAGAAGGGGTCGAATCGGCACACACGTGAGTCGTTAAATTAGCATTTTCTTCTTAAGGCGTGTTCCTGCTCACCGCGTTGAACAATTTGATGAGCGTGCGGCAAATCGAGATGCAGGAGCAGTTCATCATGGCCTACGGAGGCCTGCGAGGGGCGGTCGGCTTTTCACTGGTCGTGATGCTGGACGGAGCGCTGGTCCCTCCGCGCCAGCTCTTCATCACGGCCACCCTCGTCGTCATCCTCTTCACCGTTTTCATTCAGGTGAGTTGTTATGCAACCGGCACGACGTGCGTGCCCGACTATCTGCATAGCTATGATTTTTCGTGCTTAACTTTTTCGAGACGACCTTCCTTATTGATTTTAATAGAGAAGGAGAATCAATAAAAATTTGAATAAAATAAACAAAATTGTCAGAAGAGTATAAATTTATCATTAGAAAGGTCCGGAAGACAATTATTTTTATTAAAGGTCCATAAAGCCACAAATTTTTTAAATTTTGCTCACTAAATTTTCTGGTCCTTCCAATTCTCAGTTGATTTTACCAAACCCCATTCATATATTTATTTTCATTTGGGGGGAAAAAACCTTGTTTTTTCTCACGAAGATTCATTTCACAGGGCAGCACGATAAAAACACTTGTTGATTTTCTGCACATTGAGAGGTCGCAAGCTGGACACAAGACTCTGCACGAGGAAGTGTCCGACCATGTAAGAGTTGAAAATATTTATTGATTCCGGAAATGCGAGATTCGCACTGAATTGCAGGTGATTAGCATGTTGATGGCCGGGATCGAAGAGATTGCTGGCGCCAGGGGCGACTATTACATCAGAGTGAGCGATGAACAAGAATTAAAATAATTTCACGCTTCCAATCCATCAAGTCAAAAAACAGAAATTTTCATTTTATACAAAATTCCCAAAAAATTACCCTAGCTTTATATCAAGTAGCTCTATTTATTTTAAGATAAATTTTTTGAAAATATTCCTTCCTGATATAAAATAAACTTTCACGGGATATATCTTTTTCTAATTTATATTTCATTCACAGAGGAAACTGGAGTACCTAGACGATAAGTACTTGAAGCGAATTTTCATGAATCCTGACGCTGAAAACGACCTGACCAGAATGTTTGAAAAACTGACCCTGACGTAAAGATATGAAAGTATATTTTTTTTGAGATAGTAAATTTAAATATTTAATTAGGGAGCACTTTGCTCACTTGTACGGTCCTGTGACCTTGGTGGAGGACCAAAATTACTACGGAGGCTACGACTCGCGCGAATCTCTGGACCCGCACAAGGCTGCCCTGATGGGACTGCCGCCGCCCGGATCTTACTTCAGGGTTTCCGACCTCTTCCCTGGCGTCGAGTTGCGACGCAGAGGCACCATGGTCATGTCGCCCTCCTCCAGCGCACCACCAACCAGGGGCAGGTCCCGCACCCTGACTGAGGGAGAACTCACCTCCTCCAACCTCACCCTGAGAAAGGCCCTCAGAAACACGCCCTATCAGAGAGTAAGTGAAACTTTTTGATTTACAAAAAAAATTAATAAAAAGCCAAATTAAGAACATTTACTTCAAAGAATATGCTATTTTAAATATTGAAAGTTAGGAAATGCTAGAATAAGGAATTATTCTTGTGAGGTTATATCAAATTTTGAATATTTAATTGTATTGGCAATTTTTGCATACAGAATTCTTCCCATTTTAATAATAGTTGATCACAATAACTGAACAACACCATGGATGGACACGATCTCAAATTTGGCGATTGCGATCTAAAAATGTTTTTTTTTTTGCGATTAATTATAAATACTTTTTTTTTTTGAAAAAAAAATCAAACTAAAGAAAATCAATAAAATATACTGGGCATGTTTAAGAAAATTTTCATCAAATAATTGTTTTAAATGTATTTTAATTAGACTGGTTTATTATTTTTGATAAGATACGTTAATCTAATCCTCATTTTCAAATTAAATTTTCAATTCTTCATCCAGTTCCACTACAAGCACAACAGGAACTTGATAGACGACGATTATCAAGAGTTGAGGAATCATCTTGAGCGGCGACTTTTGACCGCTCGAAGAATCACGCACATGGCGGCCCTGCGGCATCATTCGGCGCAGTCGGTCCTTCCGACGAGCTCAGTGGGGCCTTCGTCACTTGAAACCCAGCACGACATCGAGTTTTTCGATCAGCCCAGAAGACAAGTTGTTTCAGGTAAATAATGATTCTTATTAACATAAAATGTTAACTGTAAACAAATAATTGAACAACATAAATGTTTGATATAATACAAGCTTATAATAGATTACGGAAAAGTAGAATCGATTCTATTTTTTAATTTGATCAAAAAGTAATCATGTTGCGAATAGATTAAAAGTTTTGGAATTAAAAGCGTTTTCTTTTAAATGAAATTTAAGTTTTGATACTCTTTTTTTCCAATTTCAAATGAGCTATGTTGAAAAAAACAGCTATGCTCTAGGTCTACGTATGAAGCGCAGACCTTATGGAGGACTCGTGAAATTCACAAAAACAACAAATAGACGATGATTATGTAATTATCGACTGCCAGGATTGCAAGGAATATATTTAAATAGGCCTTGAGAATAGTCGTAATATAATTTTTAGAGTGATTTGTCCTGGCAGTCGATAATTAAAAAATCGTGGTCTATTGACAGAAGATGACGAGCTTTTTGTAAATGCTCTAGGTCTGCGCGTGAAGCGCAGACCTTATGAGAGCGTCGTGAATTCTACAAAATGCGCTAGGCCTGCGTCTGCGCGTGAAGCGACCGAGCTGAAATTCGGTCCGACTGAAAGTTTATTTTTTTTTAACTCTTAGCTTCTTGTGCAGTAAACAGTTAACGAATCAAATTACGTTTAAAAAGGAAATCTAGACACGACAAAAAAAAATGCAAAACTACAAATTTTTTACTTCTTTGTATATGTATTTTTATGACTAAATAATTGGAGACGCTTAATTAATAAATTTATATGGAGGGAAAATTGAAAGTTGGTGGTGGAGCGCGAATCATTTTGAGGATGGGTAGAAATCTAAAACATTTTGTTGCCCATATATATTTATGGTTTCTCAAAGCAATAACAAAAATTTTATTAATTTAAATTCACTAAAAATAAATATAAAATTAACTTGAGAATATTTTTTTAAGTAGGGAAATTTAACAGATAAAATTTCAAAGTAAAAATTGATTTTTTTTTTTTTTTTTTGAACTCGGTTCGACCGAGCTGGAACTCGGTCCGCAAACTTTATGAGACAGTCGTGAATTCTGCAAAATGCTCTAGGTCTGCGCGTGAAGCGCAGACCTTATGGTAGAGTCGTGAATTTTACTAAATGCTCTAGGTCTGCGCGTGAAGCGCAGACCTTATGGTAGAGTCGTGAATTTCACTAAATGCTCTAGGTCTGCGCGTGAAGCGCAGACCTTATGGTAGAGTCGAGAATTTCACTAAATGCTCTAGGTCTGCGCGTGAAGCGCAGACCTAATGGTAGAGTCGAGAATCTCACTAAATGCACTAGGTCTGCGCGTGAAGCGCAGACCTTATGGTAGAGTAAGAATTTCACTAAATGCTCTAGGTCTGCGCGTGAAGCGCAGACCTTATGGTAGAGTCGTGAATTTCACTAAATGCTCTAGGTCTGCGCGTGAAGCGCAGACCTTACGAGAGAGTCGTGAATTCTACAAAATGCGCTATTTATAAGCTTGAAGCGGCCGAGCTGAAACTGGGTCCGACCGAGCTGGAACTCGGTCCGACCGAGCTGGAACTCGGTCCGACCGAGCTGGAACTCGGTCCGACCGAGCTGGAACTCGGTCCGACCGAGCTGGAACTCGGTCCGACCGAGCTGGAACTCGGTCCGACCGAGCTGGAACTCGGTCCGACCGAGCTGGAACTCGGTCCGCAAACTTTATGAGACAGTCGTGAATTCTGCAAAATGCTCTAGGTCTGCGCGTGAAGCGCAGACCTTACGGTAGAGTCGTGAATTTTACTAAATGCTCTAGGTCTGCGCGTGAAGCGCAGACCTTATGGTAGAGTCGAGAATTTCACTAAATGCTCTAGGTCTGCGCGTGAAGCGCAGACCTAATGGTAGAGTCGAGAATATCACTAAATGCACTAGGTCTGCGCATGAAGCGCAGACCTTATGGTAGAGTCGAGAATTTCACTAAATGCTCTAGGTCTGCGCGTGAAGCGCAGACCTTATGGTAGAGTCGTGAATTTTACTAAATGCTCTAGGTCTGCGCGTGAAGCGCAGACCTTATGGTAGAGTCGTGAATTTCACTAAATGCTCTAGGTCTGCGCGTGAAGCGCAGACCTTATGGTAGAGTCGTGAAGTTTACTAAATGCTCTAGGTCTGCGCGTGAAGCGCAGACCTTACGAGAGAGTCGTGAATTCTACAAAATGCGCTATTTATAAGCTTGAAGCGGCCGAGCTGAAACTGGGTCCGACCGAGCTGGAACTCGGTCCGACCGAGCTGGAACTCGGTCCGACCGAGCTGGAACTCGGTCCGACCGAACTGAAAATCGGTCCGACTGAAAGTTTATTTTTTTTTAACTCTTAGCTTCTTGTGCAGTTAACAGTTATCGAATCAAATTACGTTTAAAAAGGAAATCTGGACACGAAAAAAAAAAATGCAAAACCACAATTTTTTTACTTCTTTGTATATGTATTTTAATGACTAAATAATTGGAGACGCTTAATTAATAAATTTATATGGAGGGAAAATTTAAAGTTGGTGGTGGAGAGCGAATCATTTTGAGGACGGGTAGAAATCTAAAACATTTTTTTATTTAATTTTTTACGTTCTCTTGTTTTTGTTGCCCATATATATTTATGGTTTCTCAAAGCAATAACAAAAATTTTATTAATTTAATTTCACCAAAAATAAATATAAAATTAACTTGAGAATATTTTTCAAGTAGGGAAATTTAACAGATAAAATTTCAAAGTAAAAATTGATTTTTTTTTTTTTTTTTTTTGAACTCGGTCCAACCGAGATGGAACTCGGTCCGACCGAGCTGGAACTCGGTCCGCAAACTTTATGAGACAGTCGTGAATTCCGCAAAATGCTCTAGGTCTGCGCGTGAAGCGCAGACCTTATGGTAGAGTCGAGAATTTCACTAAATGCTCTAGGTCTGCGCGTGAAGCGCAGACCTTATGGTAGAGACGTGAATTTTACTAAATGCTCTAGGTCTGCGCGTGAAGCGCAGACCTTATGGAAGAGTCGCGAATTTCACTAAATGATCTAGGTCTGCGCGTGAAGCGCAGACCTTATGGTAGAGTCGTGAATTATACTAAATGCTCTAGGTCTGCGCGTGAAGCGCAGACCTTACGAGAGAGTCGTGAATTCTACAAAATGCGCTATTTATAAGCTTGAAGCGGCCGAGCTGAAACTGGGTCCGACCAAGCTGGAACTCGGTCCAACCGAGCTGGAACTCGGTCCGACCGAGCTGGAACTCGGTCCGACCGAGCTGGAACTGGGTCCGCAAACTTTATGAGACAGTCGTGAATTCTGCAAAATGCTCTAGGTCTGCGCGTGAAGCGCAGACCTTATGGTAGAGTCGTGAATTTTACTAAATGCTCTAGGTCTGCGCGTGAAGCGCAGACCTTACGAGAGAGTCGTGAATTCTACAAAATGCGCTATTTATAAGCTTGAAGCGGCCGAGCTGAAACTGGGTCCGACCGAGCTGGAACTCGGTCCGACCGAGCTGGAACTCGGTCCGACCGAGCTGGAACTCGGTCCGACTGAGCTGGAACTCGGTCCGACCGAGCTGGAACTCGTTCCGACCGAGCTGGAACTCGGTCCGACCGAGCTGGAACACGGTCCGACCGAGCTGGAACTCGGTCCGACCGAACTGAAATTCGGTCCGACTGAAAGTTTATTTTTTTTTAACTCTTAGCTTCTTGTGCAGTAAACAGTTATCGAATCAAATAACGTTTAAAAAGGAAATCTGGACACGACAAAAAAAAAAAATGCAAAACCACAATTTTTTTACTTCTTTGTAAATCTATTTTTATGACTAAATAATTGGAGACGCTTAATTAATAAATTTATATGTAGGGAAAATTTAGGCACGCCCCCCTATGAACTTGTAAACACTGCTTTTGGTCCCGGAATTTTGAGTTTTCGCTGCGATTTTGAAACTGAGTCTGCCCGTTTTTGGTGTCTGAGAGCTCGTGAAGGTTCAGTGCGGGTGTGTGTCTGTGGGCAGCCGATGTGATATCCGACTTTCCAAGATGCAAGCTCAAATTCCACGACGACCAGCGTTTGGGAGGGCTGGGCACAGAACGCCATTAGAAACGCCATGCTGTCACCGAGGCGAATGGATCTACCAAACACTACAGTCTGTCCTCGTCGAACTTGCGGTAATAAAGGCAAGCCTTCAAAACGTACCTGAAAGCCCTAAATCTCTACCGCCGCCCACGCGTCCTGCGAGAGTGTACGAAATCGACGGCGACCTTTTTGAGGACGCTCCAGCCGACGCCTCACTGGCTCACTGCGTTGGTGCCGATTTTCTGATGGGAGCCGGCATCGCAGTGCCAATAAAGGAGAAGTACGGAAACGTGAGTTACCTGAAATCTCTCGGCCGCCGGCCTGGTCAGGTCGCCTCTCTGCCTATCTCGGAAGAGCAGCTGAAATTCGTTTTCTACCTAGTGACCAAGCCGCGCTCAGCGTACTGCTTACCTCGCCCTGATGACTTTGTCTCCGCCGTCCGAGAGCTGGCTCAGCTCTGTTCCTCGCTTGGAGTGCCAACGCTTGCCATGCCGCGCATCGGGGCCGGACTGGACCGACAACCATGGCCGTGGGTCCGTTCGGTCATCGAAGAGGCCTTCGCCGGAGTCGATACTGACGTTCTCATCTTTGTCCACCCGTCTGAGCGTCCAGTCAATGAGATGAAGCGCCGCTCGTACAGGGACGTCGCGGCCTCGACTCCCGTACAAGCAGCAGCTGAAAAAACCTGTCCGGACGTATCCGCAGATTCATTTGGAAGAAATTCCCCGAAGAACAAGCAGCCAGCACACCAGCGAAGCCCAAAGGTCAATGGAATGCAGAGGCTGACCGCCGACATTGAGAGACAGCAGCAAATGCGCACTGGACACTCGTCCCGGATGACCGATGCCCATCAACGAGGAGGAAGAGGGAGAGGAAAAGATGCAAGGGCCAGGAGTGGCACGAGGTTAGTAAAAAATAAAATTCTTACTGACCTCAC